TTCCCGCCAATTCAAGGAAAGGTGAAATCAGGACTAGCAGAGCCATCTATGGACAGACATATTTCACAAAAATATAAAAAATGAGTACTGCATTTCCCCCATTTTTTGTTCATTTTCCCCAGCGGCAATGGGTTAAGTGACAGTCGTCTGTTGATATATGTGAGAGAGAATTACCTGTAGGTCCTGTAGTTGAGACAAAATTCATTCATAATTTCCATTTTGCTCCATCCCTCCCCTCCCAGGTCGGAAACCCTTGGTTTAGGTGTTTCAGATATGTCTTTTCTACATATGAAACCTTTTTTTTTTTTTTAGATTCAACCAACAAAGAATTACTTAATTACTTAAATAGTGTGGCCCATTTGAATAGCTAACTAACCCCAAGTTTTGAGTTAGCTAATGAGACGTCCTAGGCTCTAAATCCCCTCACTTGAAGCTCTTTCTGGTTGAATATTGTGCTTTTAGTGATAATTGGTAAGTAGGTTCAGCCAGGCAAGTTGAAAAATGTGTATCAGCATTTTATCCTCTATAAACAAATTATGTTTACTTGTTTCCTTCATGACCGTTTTAGTGCTTATTACCATGTATGGATCTATCAAGCTATATTGCCCTTTGTGGGTTAATGGGAAGATGGTTGATAGTATAGGTCTGTTCATAAAAAGAAGGTAACTGCCTGTTTTGTTTGTTTCAAAACACACTAGTTACACTTGTTTACTGTCTATAGTTTTGACAAGGCTATAAAAAAAAAGTTTTAATGACCAAATTATTTAACCAAACCACAACAGATTTATGTTCTGCCCTTTTAGTTTTTTTAAATTTTGTTTCATACCAATAGCTCCACATGTGCTCAGCCAGCAAGAAGTCTATAAGTAGGCCCAAGTGACCGATCCTGATTTCCCCATTCCTTGAATTGGCAGGAGAATGTGTTTTTCTTTTTAATAGAATAGATGTCAATACTGTTGTTATTGTTATTGATGCTATGATTATCAAATTATTAAAATCTTAGTCACATTTAAGACACTGAAATAATAGTAAAGACCCTTTCCAAAAGTCACATTCCACAGATCGAACGGTTTGTTATGATGCCTCAGTGCATAACGCGTCAGGAAGGGGTTAAAACAAAGAAGGTTGAGTATCTGTCTCATGTTAGCATTTTAGTATATTTACTTCAAAATGGAGCCTCTAATTTATGGAAAGAAAGCTTGAAAGTTGTCGATTTCTTGTAGACACAGGCTTGTATATATATTTTTTTAAATTGTATTATTGAGTGGTATTTATATGATTTAACCCCATCCCGACGGGTGACGCCGATAGGCATGAAAACAAACCACTCGAAAGCTGGCGTGCGGCTGTACACCGCGGCGGCGAGCCAGTGATTTGGGATGATATACCAAACTCATGTGTTCAAAGTCGGCACGCCGCCATTGTTTGCCAGAGCGTATATTTTTTTTTTTTTTTTTTTTTTTCTTCTTCTTCTTCTTCTTCTTCTTCTTCTTCTTCTTTCTTCTTCTTCTTCTTCTTCTTCTTCTTCTTCTTCACCCGTCACCATTGGGTTAAGGGGAAATGCAACATTTGGTTTGAAAGATTTCACTTTTCAAATGTGTGCTCAATGTCTTTCCAAACCATCTGGAAAACCCCACTCTACATATTGTCTTTTAGCTTATGCAAAATGGCAGTATGATATTTAAAAGGAAAAAGAATTCAAAGACCAGAAGGGGAGGCATGGCAGTTTTGGACATTCTGTATGAGTTTAGTAAAGGCAGTTTTCCATAGTTTCCAACCAAATATTTCTTAGACTAAGGTTTTCCAAATTCTACAAATGGCCAATGTGTAGACAAAGTGAGTGGTGACATGCCAGTCACATTTCGTAACATAGAGTGGCAGCGGGTGCTTTTCTTAATAGCTTTATTTTCTTTATTCATTCTGCGATAAGTCTGCCTCAGATTCATATTTTATTTATCATATCTAGCATATCTAGAAATGAAAAGCCCATTAAAGATTTTTAAAAATTTTCTTTTTGGAAGGGTTTTAAATATATGAAAATGCTCTAAATGTATTGATTTTTCTTCTTCCTTTCTTTCTTTCTTTTCTTTTCTTTTCCCTGAGTCTGAGATTTACTGTAGATTTATTATTGTTAAGTCTAATAACAGGTATATTTTAGTTTTTGAATCTCTTTAGGTCAAGGGCAGAAAAGTGAAATTCATCCTGGCTTTGTAGTTGTTGTTTTTTTTCTTTTTTCTTTTAATTAGATTTATTGATTATTTTACCTCTTATTTTTCCCTCCAATCAAAATACTTTATGTATCACTGCATCCAGGGAGTTTCTAATTTTTAAATGCACTTGCAGGTGTTGCTGGCCGCAGCAGTTTGCACCAAGAGCGGGAAGGCTTTGGTGTCTCGGCAGTTTGTCGAGATGACAAAGTCGCGCATTGAGGGGCTTCTGGCTGCCTTCCCAAAGTTAATGACAGGAGGCCGGCAGCACACCTTTGTTGAGACAGAGTCCGTGCGTTATGTGTATCAGCCCCTGGACCGCCTGTACATGCTGCTTATCACCACAAGGGCATCAAACATCTTGGAAGATCTTGAAACACTCAGGCTGTTCTCTCGAGTGGTGAGTACCTTTTATTTTCTCTCTTCTGCAAATAATAGTTGTATTTAATGACTATTTTAGATATATTAAGGTCATATGCTCTTTGGCTCTTAAATCATGCAGAAGACTTCACTCTTTGATTGATGGATTCTTGTTACCTGGAAATCAAAATTAAAAAGATGATTGTTTATAATGATAATGCTCTTCCCTTATTTTCATTCTTTTTCCCTTCCATCTCTTTTCATTTTCAACTCGATATTTGTATTACTTAATGTTGCTGCATCTTTCTTTGTCAGCTTCTATTATATTGTTTTTTTTCCCTTCCCCTTTCCCCTACTTTTTCTCTTCTCCCCATCCTTCATCCTCATCCCTTTTCCTCTCTTATATTCAGTTAGAATATAAATATTGATAATTGTGGAGTCAGTATCTTTGGGCCATAGAAGTTAACCCCTTAGATATGGTTGCGTCACAGCAGCCACGTGACCATAAATCCGGGCATTATGCTTAAGCGAGCGGCTGCTCTGCCAGGTGGCAGCTTGTAAGTGGGGTGCACACAAACACGAAGACATTATACCTCCTCCATGGAGCTGACACTCTTCTAGTCATGGCTCATGAACATTACATTCCTCACTCGTACATCAATGGGAATGATGAAAAATCGTCAGATGAGTCTAATCTTGGGAGGTTGATTAGAGTGAGACTTTCCCATCACCCACCCTTCAGCCAAAAGGCTCACAATGACAGGTTCGCGTCACCCACCCTTCAAGCCAGATTTATTCGTAACGTTGATGGTTGGTCACATCACATCACCCAGATGGAAGGGTTTAATGAGTGACTTTTTGTTTTTGTTTGTTTGTAGAGTAGGTATTGCCTAATTGTATAATCCTCATCTTTGTAAATGTGTATTTTGCACCAAGAATTCATCTAGTCACAGATTATCTTATTTTCCACCCCAACAGATCCCAGAGTACTGCCGTAATATGGAAGAAAGCGAGATCTTGGAAAATGCATTCCATCTCATTTTTGCCTTCGATGAGATTGTAGCCCTTGGTTACAGGGAGTCTGTGAACCTGGCCCAGATTCGTACTTTTGTTGAAATGGACTCACATGAAGAGAAGGTCTATAGAGCTGTCAGGGAGACCCAAGAAAGGGAGGCTCGAACCAAGATGAAGGTAGGCACATATAATTTATTGAATTTATTGATTAGATTTTCAGCCTCTGTTCCATCCAGTTATAAATAAACTTTCAACAAGCGTTGAACATGATTATTTTTATATTGCATTCAAGAATGTTTGTCAGAACTGGAATGAAGTCAGACTAGAGAGAGATTTATAAGAAAAAAAAAAACTTACATATATGCTTATTTATACATTTTGTATCATAATTTATAAAATATGAAACGGCAAAACATGTATTTGAACTTAACATACAAGAGTGTAGGAAAAACAAGAAGTGTCAAGGTGATTGTATGAAGAAAGAGTAGGTCTTAGATCTGGGGTAGGAGATGGGATGGTGGGTGTAGCAGTTTCTGATGGACTGGAGGGATATAGGGATTTTATTTTTTTATTTTTTTCCCCCTCCTTTCTTTTTTTGTGGAGATTTAAACATTAAATTAGCTATTTGATGAAGCAGACAAAGTGTGTGCCATTCAAGATTTTAAAATATGCCTTTAAAACTCGCAGGAGAAGGCCAAGGAGCTGCAGCGCAAACGGTACGAGGAGAACAAGAGAGGCATCAAGTCCCCAGGCTTCTCCGGGGGAAACAGTGGAGGATTTGGCATGTCTGGAGGTTTCGGAGGAGGATCTGGAGGTTTCACCCCATCGGAGCCGATAACAGCCACCACACAGGTATGGATTTGGAGAGGCAGTGAGGATGGGATTATTCTTGGGGAGCTCTTTCATTTAGACAAGTATACAAAATTCAGAAATTCAGATTTACTAAGGAAGAGATGTTCGAGAGTAAATAGCTCAAGGAAAGTGACGATGATAATGGCCGACAATGAGCGAGAGGAAATTAAAAAACTGATTCCTTCATATTCCAGGAGAGCAGGCCCGCTCCCATGAAGGCTTCAGGTCCAAACCGCGCCATGAAGCTCGGAAGCAAGGCCAAGGATGTGGATTCCTTCGTGGACCAGCTGAAGTCTGAGGGAGAGCGAGTAGTTTCCGCAACAGAGCCCGTGAACAAGATGCAGCCAGTGTCTACGCCTCAAGTGGATGTCGAGCCGTTAGTTTTTGTTTCTCTTTCTTTGTTTAGTTATTTTTCTGTTCTCCCTTTATCTATCTGTTTCTTATTTTGCTATTTGTCTCTGTTTCCATTTTCCTGAAAACTGCAATGAGGGAGTGATGAGAGAGATTTTGCTTTAGCCAGATTTGTGTGTGTGTTTGTGGGGGAAGGGGGTCCAAGCAAGTTTGTTTTTTTTTCCCACTTAGAAAAATTGTTGTGTTTAGCTGATTCTAATAAATGGAGATGAATAAATGGGAATACATAGGCTTTGTCACATCATTACTGAAAACACAGTAATTGCTCAATTGACAATTAGCTGTAGTTTTCATAACACACACACACACACACACAGACATGCATCCTTTACTCAAACCATTATTATACTAAGTTATATTTTCAATCCACAGAGTTCACATTGTCATGGCAGAGGACCTGGTGGTGCGAGCTGGAAGGGATGGAGGCTTACAGACAATGGAAGTCCAAGGTATCCTCAAACTCCGAATCACAGACAGCGACCACGGCTTTATCAAAGTACAGGTAAGGAATATTATTCTTTTTTATTTTATTTATTTATTTATTCCCCCCCAGGAAATATTTGTGCAAATTGTTGCCAAAATCAGTGTAAAAAGACTGTACAGTAATTTTAAAAGTCAATTTGCAGGAAAGTATAGTGGTATTATTTCAACTCATCATTAGAATAATTTCATAGGTTGTCTTATGTGACTAGATGTATTTGATTATGTATATTTATATATATTTTAATCATTTAAATTTTGGTTCTTTTCAGGTGGACAATACAGATAGCAGACCCATTCAGTTGCAGACTCATCCCAATGTAGACCGTGATCTCTGGCGCTCTTGCGGACAAATAGGCATGAAGATGTCGAACAAGCCTTTCCCTGCAAACACAGATGTGGGGGTGTTGAAGTGGAGGTTCCAGACAACAGATGAAAGTCAAGTGCCATTATCTAGTAAGTTCCTTTTTTCTTTCTTTCTTTCTTTCTTTCCTAATTTCTTTTTCCATCCCACTTTTTTCCAGTTACTCCTCATCATGAATAATATTGAGAAGGTATTGATATTTGAAGAAAAATAAAATAAAATAATAATAATAATAATAATAATAATGAAAAAAATAATAATAATAATTTATGCTTTAGTTTTATTGGAAGCTTTATCCATATTCAAGCAGACATTTCAGATAATGGCCAGTCATTAGTTGCTGTACTCGGTTTTTGCCACTGCTTTAGGTTATCTAAAATTACACCATTCCCCCAGTTAACTGCTGGCCCCAGGAGAACGGTGCAGGAGGATGCGACGTCAACATTGAGTACACCTTAGAGAACACTGAAATGGAACTCAACGAGGTTACTATAACCATTCCGCTTGCCTCGGGTGCCCCCCCACCGGTCATCAACGACTGTGAAGGAGAGCACGAATATGACCGCGCTCACTGCTCGCTTGTATGGCGTATTCCCGTTATTGATAAGACTTCCCCAACTGCTGCCATGGACTTCACAGCCAGAGGTGTTCCCGATAACTTCTTCCCAGTCCGCGTCTCCTTCCACTCCTCACGGATTTACTGCAACCTCAAGGTGGGTGTGATGTTGTGGTATTTTGAACAAGAGGTGTAGTTGATACATTTGGAAACTAGATCATCAGAATGTGTACTTTTTAATTTTACGTAATTGTTTTTTTTTTTTTTTTCTCCATCCTAATCATTAATTACTTGAAGTACTTTGGTTTGGTCACTGTTCATATTTACAGCTTGTGAAGTATAACCCTATTAACCTTTCTTTATTTTGGCTGTTACCATATTTACATACTTCAATCAACCACAGTATCTTCAACCCTTCCCCTATTTCTAATTACTCCTATATCCTGCTAATGATGCATTTCATCATGTGTAAAGTAATATGCAATGCTGTACAGTTTTGTGATGAGTAAGATATAATAATCTGGACTATTTCTGTAGGGTGATGATTGAGTAAGCAATTTCTTATCACACTTCCATTGCATTTATGGAGTGATTCAACAGTGTTTCTTAACCCAAAGCCGATGGGCTTGGCATGTACATATATGCCTTGCCCACTGTGAGTTTACTTTATTAAATGTTTTTTCCACAAAGAAGGCTCCACTTGTACTAAGTCAGCAATGAGCTTTTCCCTAACTGGGTTAACCTGTTCACATTGGTTGGTGCTATTCTTGTCATGATGCAGCAAGTACATATTCTGGATGACTAATATCTATGCCAAGCATGTATGAAGTGCATGTTAAATAGTCCACTTATTTGGTCTTCACTGTGGTATCTTAGAAGGTACTGCTCTCTAATGTAGGCCTTAAGTATAATTTGTTATTGAAAGTTTATACATGTTGGCCAAAATTGTAGACAGCAAGAAAAACAGTTTTCCCATTTCAAAACTTTGTGATGGAAAGGTGACATATCCCAGTCATTACTAGTCATGGATTTATGTATACTGTCAAAATCTTTAAAATACTGGGAATACTGTTATTTTGAATACAATCCATAGTATGTACCAGGCACACAATGGCTTTGGTTGATTACTTAGTGAAGTTTGATTTCATACTAGCTTTGCTGTGTGATGAGTCAGTTTGTTATGATGGCTATAGGTATGGCCAGGCAGATACGAGTTAACCCCTTGGATCAGTTGCTTCTCGGGAATCACATGGTCTAAAATATAGGCTAAAATATACGAGTGGCCACTCTACAGGTCTGCAATTTATAGGCCAGATGCACATGAACACTCATGTGTGTTGACAAGATTTTGCCTCCACTTTGCAATACTATTTTCTCTTTTTATGCATAAGTTTTTTTTCCATTTTCCAGTGTTCACATTTCATTTTATTTGCTTTATCCAGATGGCAATAGACTTTTCCTTGCATAGATTCCATCTCATCTCTCTAGGTAGTTCATAAGCGTATGCAATAATAGGTAACACTGTGTTATTTGAAGCTTAGTTTTATATTTTCATGATATTCAGTTTTCTGTAGTACACCCTTTGCCGCCAGTCACAGCAGGAATAGGATTCTGGGCATGGAAATAATGTCCTGGAGCCAGCACTCTTCCAGTCATTGCTAATGGACATTACATTTTACCCTCATACATCAGCCTTCAGCTGAAACACTAGCGACGGCAGGTTTGTGTCACCTGGCCTGCAGCCAGATTTTTCCCATAACATCATGTTCACGTCACCCACCCCTCAAGCCAGATTTTTTCATGGTCACATCACCCAGATCCAAGGAGTTCATGGTTTTTCAGGATCTAAGTACATGGCAACTAAAAATAATATGAATCGATAGCATATACTATCCAAAGTCAGAATTATTATTGAGTATAAATATTTTCTTTATAGAATGAATACTTGAAGTTATTGTAGATATTAAAAGTAAGTTTTAGGGTCTTGAACATAATGCTTTGTAGTCCACAAAAGTAGAATAAGTCAACCACCAGCGTTGAATTAAAGACCATGAATTGCTTTATAGTGGGAATAAGATCTGGTGAAGTAGAAAGTGTCAGGGAAAGTGAAAAGTGATAAGTACTACTGTAAAGCCTACATAAGGAGTATTGTATGTTTATTTTCAGCAGATTGTTTACCATTGGATCACTTTGTTTTTGTCTTATTTAAGTAGTAATTAGAATACCTCTCCCTTGCCTATGCTTCTCACTCAAGATTAACCCATTGGATTCAGGTGCCTTGCTGCCCACATATGGCCCTACATACAGGCCCAGCCCATGGGTAGTGTTGCTGTCAAGACTCCTTGCCTCACCTTTGTTATGTTATCTCTTTTTCCGCAGAAGTGTTTTTGTCATTTTTCAGTTGATATTTGTCATTTGATATGCTGTATAAGATGGTAGTAGACTGTTTTCTTTGCACACTCCATCTCATCTCTGTAGGTAGCTCATAAGCGTATGCAATAATAGGTAACACTGTGTTATTTGAATCTTAGTTTTATATTTTCGTGATATTCAGTTTTCTGTAGTACACCCTGTGCCGCCAGTCACAGCAGGAATAGGATTCTGGGCATGGAAATAATGTCCTGGAGCCAGCGCTCTTCCAGTCATGGCTCACAGATATACATTCTACACGTTTAATGCAAGAACCCCTTACTAAACCGCCTTCAGCCACAATTCTCATGACATCTTCATGTTACCCAGACCACAAGATAAACTTTTTCATATGTGATGGTTACAATACCTAGATCCAAGGGTTAAAAAAAAAAGTGATGATTGTGAAGTCCTTCAAGTTGGACCTGAAAATACTTTTTTTCTGGAAATTGTAGCACTATTATGATAGACCTCAAGTTGTATTTTAAAAAATATATGCAAAATGTATTCAAGTAGAACTGTTTTCTCCCTCTTCTCTTCATTAGCTTTCACCTTGAACGTCCTTACTCTTTTTATGTCCTTCCTTCTTTTTCCTTTACCCTTTCACCTTGCCCACTTCCTCCATCCCTAAAGATTGAGCATACCCATCCACTCTATGTAGTAATAGTTATGTTTGATCTTTTTCAGGTTTTGGGAGTTGTCAGCACTTCTGATGGAGCACCAGTGGTACATTCCATGGAGACGCTCATGAAAACCAACGTCTATGAGATTGACTAAATGTGTTTGTTATTTCCTATGGTGCACAATAATTAGTAGGATCCAGACATCAAGTAAATCTTCTGTCATGTTAAGCTGCTAAAAGGATTATCATATATATTTTTTTTCCTTCTTTTTAAGTAGTTGTGTTGAGGTTCAGAACATTTCTGCAAGTGTTGCATTTACATTTGGTAAAAGTATAATTTTAATGATTCACCTTTATTTTATGGATTGTATGAATTATTCCTGTTGAACAGGTTCCAGGGAAGCTGAGCAGGTTATTATTTGACTGGAGTGTGAGTTAGTTACATCATGTATAAGTACTGTCAATGTTCACATGTTAATCCTGGAGATAAATCCACCTCTTTATGTTAACATAAATAGGACTGAAGATGGCATATTACAGGGTTGTTTTATGGCATCTTCCAGTCAGATAACTTTTTCTTATTTTGTATATATATTTACAAGCAGCCAGTGTCCAAATTGTTAATTATTTTAGTTTAGAAAAGATTGCTGTTTTTCCCCATGTAGAAGAAACAGCAAATTTATTGTTTCCAATCTATATTCTGCATTAAAGAGAGGACAAGTTTAGATTGTATGGTTTCATTCACCTCAAATGTAATAAAAAGAAAGTTTTATTTCAAAAAATTTATTCTCAAATAAGGTGGAAGATCATATCTTCAACTTCCTTCCTACATCTTAACTAGAAAATTTGTTTCAGAACAGCTGAGTTGCAGTAAGCCGCAGATGGCATGTAAGAAATCAGCAAAAGAGCAGGAATTTCAGAGAGATTAAGAAACATAATAATGGATCCCCTTTTAAATGTCAGATGAATTTTCAGCTTTTTTTTATTTATTTTATTTTATTTTTTTTTACTTCAAAGTCCTGCTTTTTCACTTGCTATTACAAGGACACCGATGAAAAGCATATTTTATTTTCATTTAGGTCAGTCATGTAAGTCCTATCAGCATTGCTCCTAAAATTTGGCCTGTGAAACATGCTTTTAGCTGGTTAGAATCTTGTTGCATTTTTAACATTGGGGGACACCTGACTTTTGCAGAGTTGCTGATAGTTAACGGTTTATTTCCAGTACTGAAAGAACTATAATAAACACCATGTTTGCATTTTCTATACCTCTGGTACAAGAATTACCTGTCACTAAAGAAATGAATAAATTAAGAAAAAAAATGGTAAGAGATCAAAGTATTGTGCTGTACTTGTATGAATTCATACAAACAGGATTTTAATTAATAAGACGACAACCATTGTGTCTTTTATTGATAACTACGATGCACTTGGCTACGGGTTTTACAAAAAACTTTACAACTGCACAATAATTAAGTGCAGTTCATTTAGGAACATGACTTCTATGAATCATAACAATCATCCTTTTTTAGTTTGTTTCTTTGTTTCTTTCTTCCTCATGATATAAACTGGTCTCCCTTGTACCAGAGTCAAACAACACTGCCTTGGAGTGGCACTAAGAATTCCTAAAAATGTGCAACTCTCAAGCAGTCACATCTGAAGCACTCGTTTTACTGCACTTGGTTCTGGTATTCTGGTTAACTATTGAAAACAGGTATTTGAGTATTTCATGAAGATGGATACATCCCCGTGTTACCTGTGGATTTTATCTTCACTTATGAATATTTTACAGTAACTATGTACAAAGTCTTGTATTTGATTATAAGGCTTTCCCGCAGACTAATGCCAGATTGTTAAATTTGAGGATGTCTGTTACTCAAAACTATGGTTCAAAATGTGAGACCTCCGTCTGTAGATGGCAAAAAGAATTTTCTCTCTCCTTTTATTTATTTACTTTTTGATAGTTGCAACAGCTGTAACACAAACAATGACGTTGGATGCTAAGTTTCTCGTAATGCACAATGATACCAAATTAGCTTATTCCTCCCTTACCACTGGTGCAAATACTGCTTCACATCTATTTTCACTTTGAGAATCCCAAGCCATTCAAGTTCTTGGTTGAACACTATTGTCTTACATAGCAAGACTACTTTTTTCATATTTCACAACAGTAAACAAGATGGATGACTTGCCAAGCTGAAACAAATGAATGATTCTTTTTTTTTCTACTTTTAGAATAGGCATTGGAGGTGTGTTGTTTGGACTAGCTCTTCAACAAATGAGCTTTGAGTTTCCTAATATTGGTGTATTTAATGTATGTGCTCCTGGATTTTTTGAATAATAAAGCAGCACAATTTGAATAAGTTTTGGCCTATTAAGCATTTAAACAGACAATCAAAATCTCTTAGTAGGGAAACCATAACCACACTTCAAAAAAAAAATTTACATTTGCATTTAAACTTACCCTTTACTTTCTAAAGTAAGAAGAAAAAAATATACAAGACTAAAGAGTTACAGCTGTAAACAATTTGATTTACATAGTTTGACAAGTCTGACTTATCATGCAAGGAAAACCTGTTTTGTGTGAGGAGGAAACCCTACAGGTATAAAATATGACCTCTGTAAAGAGACAAAAGAAAATAAAAAAATAATCAAAATTTCAATTTTTCTGTCTTTGAAAATAATGTAAGTAATATAATACTGCAAGTTTGAGTGTACTTCCTACCTGATATCTCAAATTTTAGTTTTTTTGTTTTTTTTTCTTTTTTTTTTTTGGTAAGTAGGGTCACAGAATGTTAAAAATGTTCCCAAAAGGAAATTCTATGACCTAGGATCTCTCCATCTTAGGACTGAATACTTTTTTGCATACATGACAGAGGATAAGAACCTGAGTTACAATATCTGCCTTTCTTTTACCTAGGGATGGCCTGTAGTAATGTAATACAGCCCCTCCTTACACTAACTGCAAAGAGTAAAAAATAGTTAACATAAAAATACAATAACCAAAAATGCAGTGCCGTAATTCAGGCAATAACCTCCACAAGCATCTTCACTTTAGATCACACATACACACAATGCTTCGCACCCTCTCACTTTCACCTCTTCCCCAGCGTCCATTGCACTTTTTTGAGGTGAGGGGGACTTGGTCCTTCTAACATCAAGGAACAATAGGCAAATTTGTACATAGACTTTGCACGATTTCTGAGTAATAACCCAGTGTTTAGTAGCAGCCACCTGTAATTACTTCGACTCAGCTTTCATGGTGGAATGACTCTTGACTTGTGGTCACCTGAATGATATTAAAAAAAAAAAAAAAGAGAGAAGGGGGTGTTTTAATGACACCATTTATACCAAATTGTGACTCCACAATATAATCATTTGATAAGAGTTTTATTTCAAATTTCATATATCCAATGAATACATAAAAAGGAAAATTGCCAATCACACTTACAGCGGAGGGTTGATAGTTGAATTGGTGAAGGAAGTTTGTGTTATGGTGAGGTGGATTCTCGAGGACCGGGCGGACCAGGGGGTCCAGTCTGGGGCGAGGTTCTTCCACTTGCGGGTACAGTGGGGGGCAAGTGTGGGGGTGGAGGGATGCCTGCACCGACATGGCTTGTGGGCGGGGGTCCACTTGAGTGTGGGGGCACAGAGTCATGCGTGGTGGAGTGAACTGGGACGTAGTATGGGACGGTGCCATTGACGCCTCCTTCACTATAGTTGTTCACGAAATATTCCTTGTTGACACAGTTCCGTAATGCTTCCGGGATGCGGCCTATTATTGCACGGCGAATCTCATTGGCAGCCATTTCTCGCAACTCGTTACTGGATGCATCGGAGTAATATGCTGCATGCGGAGTGCAAATCAGGTTTGGTGCATCTTTGAGGTGTCCTGCAATAGAAAGGGAAGTTGACTTTTCTGATTATACATTAACTGCTATAAAATTATAACAAAGTCCCATAATACTGGTGTGGATCAAAACTGAAGACATCAACTCCTCTTGACAATTCTAGTGGATAAAACTTCTAAACTTTCTATTTAACATCTAAACATATTTTCACAAATAATATAACAATAAACAAAATAATAACAATGGTAAACAATAATAACAATGACAATATAAATAGTGGTAATCATAGTGATGATAATAATAGTAATAATAATAGTAGTAATAACAAAACAATTGGAAATGAGAACAATGATCATCATCAATTATTATCATCATTAATTATTATCATTTATTATTCTTAACCCAAATTTGATGGATATGGCTTGTATGTACATGCCCTGCCCACTGTGAGTTTACTTTATTAATTGTTTTACACATAGATGGCTACACTTGTACTAAGTCACCAATGAGTCTGTTTACCCTTTTCCTTGACTTTCAAAAATATTTTGTTATTGTATATTGCTGTTACTAATGTCTATAACATTATAGTAATTATAATGTCTATAATAAAAATAACACCACTGATATTTACAGTGTTAGTAAAAAAATTAAAAGTTATTTTCCACCAATTCAAGGAAAGGTGAAATCAGCTAAGGTCACAAGTTTTATGAATGGACTCCTTTGTGGTTAAGCACTAATCTTATTTATTATGATTATTATTAGTAGTAGTTGTAGAAATAGCAGTTGTATCATTACCATTATCATTACTAACATTATCATCATTATTATTATAATCATTATTATTATTATCGTCCTTTATAATCATTATAATTTTCATGTACTATTATTATTACTATTATTACAATTATTATTATTATTATTTTTATTGTTATGATTATCATCATTAAAATCATTATCCTCATTATTTCAATAATAATAATAATAACAATAATAATAATAATAATAATAATAATAATAACAACAATAAAAATGACAACAACAACAATAACAATAATAATAAATGTTAATACTAACAATAAGAGCGAATACCCATGACCAATCTATATCAGACAACTGAAAAACAACAAACAAACAAAGAGGCACAGCAAGCATACCCTGGAATGGGTTGTATGGCTCATTCTCGTGAACGTCAAGTGCTGCGGCTCTGATTCTGCCTTCCTTAAGGGCGGTGGCCAGGGCGTTCTCATCCACCAATGCCCCTCGAGCAGTGTTTACCAGGAAAGCCCCCGGCCGCATCTGGGTGTAGAAGGGAGAAAGCGATTGGGATTAATTTATTATAAATTAATTATGAGTCAGTGAGAATCGACTATGATGATACTAGCAGGTTTGAAGGTTCATCTACTGTGAATTAATAAAGAAAAGGAAGGAGAACATGTTCATGGGACTAGAGAAATGGTGGTAGAAATAAAATGGGACAATAGTAAAATAATAAGGATAAATAAAAAGTGTAATGAAAGCAGGCAAAACATTTGAATGAATGATTTGAAACTTCCTTCCGGTACTTTAGGAAATTCTTCCATAAATTATAATAGAAACTATTACACCCACTTCAAGGCAATTCTGCTACTGCATTCAATATTCAACTCAATATTCAAACTACGGCAATAATTTGATGCAGAAATCACTATAATGAAGGGATTGTTTATGCAATCATTTCTTAGTATAAATAAACCATTAACCACTGATGGGCATGTCACAATTTTATATTAGAAAGACTGGATTGGAGGAAACTTTAACAATAGTCTATTTATGAAATAATGCCTAATGTCTTTATTTCCCCCTGAGTATTGGAAAAGACTACAATGACTTTAAACA